TTATAAAGCACGGTGTTCCACAAGGATCAATTTTAGGTCCCTTACTTTTTCTTCTCTACATAAATGATCTATCTAAAACCATCAACAATAAATCTAAACCAATTCTATATGCAGATGACACTAGTATAATATTTAAGAACTCTAAATTTGAAAACTTTAAAAATGACATAAATATTGTATTTGAAGCCTTAAACAGATGGTTCGAAGCCAATTTACTCTCATTAAATTTTGATAAAACCCATTACATATCATTCACAACTAAAAACAACCACCAAATTGATCTGGACATCAGTTATGCCAACAAATTAATCTGTAAAGTACTTGATACAAAATTCCTTGGAATACATGTAGACAGTACACTGTCTTGGAAAATACATATTGAACAAATTATACCTAAATTAAATGCAGCTTGCTATGCGATGAGATCAATTAAGCCTTTTATGTCACAGGAAACATTGAAGATGGTTTACCATGCCTACTTTCATTCTATTATGAACTATGGATTAATATTTTGGGGGAACTCTTCACATAGTGTAATAATTTTTAAAATACAAAAGAATATAATTAGAATCATTACAGGATGTAGAAGTAGAGATTCATGTAGAGAATTATTTAAGAAATTAAAAATTCTACCGCTTCAATCGCAATACATATTATCGCTTCTCCTATTTGTTGTTTACAGCAAAGATAAATTCAAATTAAATTCTGATGTCTATAACATGAATACTAGACAAAAATATAACTTCCACCTACCCTCATCAACTTTATCAGTATATCAAAAAGGAGTCTACTTTACTGGCATAAAAGTGTTCAACAATCTGCCACAAAGTATTAAAAACTTGGGCAATGATACTAAAAAGTTTAAATCAGAGTTAAAGAATTATCTACATGCTCATTCCTTCTACTCTTTAGATGAATACTTCAATGTAAATAGAGAATGATGTAAAATTAAGTTATATTAATTTTTAAGCTAAAATTGCCTGTACTTATGTATGTAACCTTTTGACTTGTTCTGTATCCAAAGGTACTAACCTACTTAGGATTTATAGAATGTAAATAAATTCAATTCAATTAAAAAAAAATCATTGCATAGTTGTATAAGTTCATAAACTTCCTTCTTTAGGAGACTGCAGAAAGTGACCTCAAGCTAAATTATTTATGGTGTATTATTTTATCTTATTTATTTTCATTACTGTTACTTACAACAGACAACTGGTATGGCATTTTGGAGAACTAGTCACAGAAAAACCAGAAGGGATAGAATTACAAATGAAATTCAAACAATAAGTTGGAATTTGGAATTTGTTGACAGAGTTATAAGAGAAGTGGTTACAATGGTTTAGTCATGTAAAAGGAGTGAAAAGAATGAGGACACTGAATGGATATTAGAAATCAAATTTAAAGGAAAGAGTTTTATGGGATGACCGAGAACAAGATGGTTTAGCCAAGCAATGGAAAGGCATCAAGGACAGAGACATGAATTGGCAAGATACCAGAAAGAATAGATTGTTTGAAGACAGATGAGATTCGAGACTTTTGCCCACTTACTTACTTACTCATGGAGCTGAGCCCTTCTTGAGCAGCGGCCAATTCTGCAGCTACTCAAGAATTTCCCAGCATTTTATGGAACCCGAAGGTTCATCACCGTGTTTACAAGAGCCCTCCACTGGTCGCTATCCTGAGCCAGATCTATCCAATCCAGACCATCCCATCCTATCTCTCTAAGATCCATTCTAATATTGTCCACCCACTTATGCCTTGGTCTTCCCTGTGGTCTCTTTCCTTCTGGCTTTCCCACCAATATCCTATACGCATTCCTTGTCTCCCCCATTCGTGCTACATGACCTGCCCACCTCATCCTCCTTGACTTGATCATTCTAATTATACTTGGAGAAGAGTACAAGTTATGAAGCTCCTCATTATGCAGTTTTCTCCAACCTCCTGCCACTTCATCTCTCTTTGGTCCAAATATTCTCCTCAACACCCTGTTCTCAAACACCCTCAGTCTATGTTCCTCCCTTAATGTCAGAGACCAAGTTTCACAACCATACAGAACCACAGGCAAAATTATAGTTTTGTATATTCTAATTTTTATGTTTTTGGACAACAGAGAAGAAGACAAAAGTTTCTGGACTGAATGGTAGCAAGCATTACCAGAGTTCAATCGCCTCTTAATTTCCTCCTGAATCAGGTTTCGATCTGTTATTGTTGTTCCCAAATATCTGAACTGTGCCACATTTTCAAAACATCTGTTTCTCATCTTTATGTCATCATTTTGCCCTGCATTTTGGTGATGAGACAGTAACATATACTTAGTTTTCTCAGTGTTTACTTTTAGACCAACCTCTTTACTTGTGTCAATTAAAGTTCGTGTGTTTTTCTTTATGGTATCTACATTATCACCCATAGATTCACATCATCAGCACAGGCCAGCAGCTGATGTGTCCCATTTAATTTCAGTCCCACCTGGTTTCCCTGGACCTTCCAAATTGCATATTCTAAGGCAAAGTTGAAAAGGAGTGGCGATAAAGCATCTCCTTGTTTTAGACCATTCTGGATAGGAAATTTATCAGACAAATATTTACCTACACGGACTTTACTATACGTTTTGTTTAAACACATTTTAATCATCCCAACCAGTTTCATGGGTATCCCAAACTCTATCAGAATATTGTACAATACTTCCCTCCTAACTGAATTGTAGGCTTTCTATGAATAGCTGATGTAGACTTTTGTCCACTAGCTCTGTAAAACAGAAATTATGCCAGATGGAAGAATTAACAGCAGTATATGTATGTGTAGCCATTACCAGTCACTGTAGTGCATGTGCAATTCTTTATCATTTCAAAATCAAATGTGTTCTGTACATGACAGCAACACAGAGTATGATGTATATTGTGAATGGTAAGGTAAGTCATATTATTGGGAGACTCTTACCTTTGTTGACTGGTTCATGATGAAAGAGTTCCCGGCAGACAAAGAATTCACAATTTGGTATATAAACTTAGATCAAGGTGACTCTTAATAAAGAAGAAGCAAAAGTATAAGTGCCGAGGGCATATGAGGAAAAGTAAAATTACGCAAGCGTAAGACTTGAAGATACACCTACGAGTACAAAATCACTGAATCTTCTACCTCACGAGGCTCAAGAGACTGGAGTGTCAAAGTATAGAAGAAGAAGAGAATATAACTGCTGAAGCTTAGACCCTATAAAACAACAGTAATCCACACCTTGCAGCTGTGTGATCCAACTAGCAGGGTTCATTTTTGCAGTTGCTTTCTACAGTCTGTCACTGAAGGTGAGATCTATATGCAATTGACATACTTTTCTGATGAAGTGTGATTTCACTTGGAGGGATATATAAATATGAAAAATTATCACTACTGGAGTTCACATAATCGACATTGAACCCATGAAGTCCTGCTCCATCCAGTGAAAGTTGGTGTAAGTTGGTGTGCTGTAAGTGCAAGGATTGTTGGACCTGTGTCGTTTTAGATACTATAGGGTTCTGATGATGGTGTATAACACGCAGAGATACTGGGTTTTCGGACTTTGTTCATCGTCCGGATTTTAAATAACTAAGAAAAAACACAACATTTCAGAAACCGGATCTGTTTCCATCCTCAGGTGAGGGAAGACACCTACTCTGTTGGGTCCCTTAGAAAGAGCTAGCATCAATCACAGGACATAGGGTAGGCTGGGATCAAGCTAGGATTTTGGATCCTGAAAGCCACATCAGGTATAGGAAATACAAGGAAGCGGCCCATATGGCATGCTCAGCCAACCCAGTTTGGACTTTTCTCCAATTTGGATCCCCATTATCAGCAATGAAGTCACCAATTCACAGAGAAGATCTGTATGATGTGTTACATGCTTCACTGATTTCTATTAGGTTCTAAATTAGATAGGTGTGATTTACATCATTGATGACACTAGTAGTAGATACTATTAGTTTTCACTATTTTTCCTTTCTATTCCATGCTTTGGGGTTCATGGACTTGGTTATTAGTTTGGTTATGTGGCATAAATTTATACCTCCCTATCTATCCTGGTTCCACGCATGTGCGTGCTTGGAACAATTTTTAGTGTATGGACTTGGCCTGGTCTCAGGTGTTTATAGCCTTAGTGTTTTGTGACATCAGTTGTCAAAGTTCTGTGTGTATGAATCAGGAAATTGAAGTCAAACACATAGAAGCATTGGACGGACAGTCAGTCACAATGTGACTTGGACTGGGACATCAGTTGTCCAGTGATTGATACGGGACCCAACTGAGTAGGTGTCTTCCCTCACCTGAGGATGGAAACAGATCCAGTTTCCTAAACGTTGTGTTTTTTCTTAGTTATTTAGAATCCAGATGATGGATAAAGTTCTAAAACCCAGTATCTCTGTCTGTGTATTTTTAACTAAACAATTAATTGCGAAAGGTATGTACAGGCCATTCTTGGACAGTTCTTTCCAGAGTTGACAGAAGAAGAAAGACTGTATGGGTGGTTTCAGTGAGACTTAGCTTCCCCACATTGCATGTATGTCTATGCAGAATTTGTCTGATGTCTGCGGGGACAGAATTATCAGCAGTGGTATTTGGCCAGCATGTTCATTCGATCCTAGTCTTTGTGACTCTTTCTTCTGTGGTTGTTTAAAGGACAGTTCACAACAATAACCCCTGAGGAGAACTAAAAGAAAATATTCATAGGAAAATAAGAACAGCTCCAAAAGTTAAATAAGAACCTCTTTCGTTGGTGAGAGGAATATCTACATGTAGAGGGACAGCATTTTTAACACCTTCCATGATCTGGGAATTGTTAACTACTTCATTCCGAACCTTATCGGCTAACAGGCATACTGATTCAACGGCGAAATCTGTATGTGCCTTGCAGCTGGCTGTGTACTGGTTGTTGTGAAGCACAGTTCTGTGAACCAGTCAATAAAAGTAAGAACCCTGCTGTATAAACAGGTGTGTATAATTTCTTATTATTAACTTAGGTTCAACTGTCTTGCCTTATCTTGCTGCTTCTTTGCAGCCTGTATGCGTGTGGGGATCTTCGGAAGACGCTGTGAGAGCAGACAACGTGGTTCTTCTGAAAATTAAAGAAGATAATTTTTTATGTTTCTTGCTCTTATTAAAAGATACGTATTTATGAAATAACATATTGGTTCTGTCACTTACTATTGGTTCCTTTTATGCAACATATGTGAAATTTTTGAAATTCTTTTTATTTCTATTCACTAAAAATGCAAATGATATGCATAGTACATGGTTAGATAATTTGAAGGAATTTAAAATTCCACTTTCAGGGTTTGTGAGTGTTCTAAATTAAAATCTTGTTGTTGCTAGTGTTATTATTAATAACTTGTCCAAAACCACGAAAGATGTTGTTTTTACACCACCCATTGGAAGGCAGGCTATTTACAATAAAACAAGGAAGTGAATATTCAAATCTCAAAGAGATAAAAGTGGGAGTCCCACAAGGCAGCGTGTTAGGACCAGTCCTGTACCTGTTATACATATATGATGTGCCTCAAACAGCAAACACTACAACAGCAACCTTTGCTGATGACACTGCTATCATGGCAGCAGGAGACAACATAGAAGAAGCAAGAGATAAACTGCAGCAAGCCATTACTGTGGTCAACTCATGGACCCAGCTGTGGTGCATCATATTGAATGAGATGAAATCAGTTCATGTGAATTTTACCAACCGAAAAGTAGTCTATATCCACGTAACAATCAGCGGCAACCAAATAACTCATTCAAACATGCAAAGTATTTAGGAATGACACTAGACCCCAAACTGTGATGGAAAGAACACGTGAAAAAGAAAATAGAAGAACTTAACATCAAATACAGGAAAGCGAAGTGGCTCTTTGGTAGGACGTCCCGGCTATCAATACAAAACAAAATACTGGTACACAACCAGGTCATAAAACCAGTCTGGACTTATGGAATACAGCTGTGGGGTTGTGCCAGTAAGAGTAGCATTCAAAGAATACAGAGATTTCAGAACAAAGTGCTGAGGGGAATAGTAAATGTCCCTTGGTATGCCCGTAATAGTGACAACCACAGGGATCTTGGCATTAGGATGGTCACTGCCAAAATTAATAGGATAGCTAAGAAGCACGAAGATTGGCTTCACCACCGCATGAACGTGGAAGCGATACAGCTTCTTGACAAGAGGACAGTGAGAAGGCTCAAGAGACTCAAGCCGTTTGAACTAGTTTGAACTAGTGTAGTGCAAGTGTGCATTAGTGTAAATAGTGATACGAGTGCAAAACAATGTGCTCAAGACACCAGATGCTGGGACACAGCAATGGGCATAGTCTCAGAGTTTAGTTCTAGTAGCAGTAGTTTAAGTGAGAATAAAAATGTTCATTAGTCCCGGACTAGTTGCATTGTTAGGACATTAAGAAAAAAAATGTATACTATATATATATATATATATATATACAGTGGAACCTCGCTTAACCAGCAGCTCTCGTAACAAGTAATTTGCGTAACGAGCAAAACAAATTGTAAAAAAATGACTTGCTTAACGAGCGACATTTCGCATAACAAGTGATGAGAGGGGATGTCCTGGATTGTGGGCTTGCTACATCAGTCTGTGTTTAGCACTCATTCCGCTAGCATCTTAGTGTTGCTTGTGATCACACATTTTTCCAAACTTGTGTTCAGACATATTATTTGTGATTTTTTGTGTGCAGAGTTTAATAACCCTTGCAAAAATGTCCCCAAAGAAAAAGCCACAAAAAGACAGCCATAAGAGAATAAAACTAACCGTAGAAATGAAACGTAAAATCATTGAAAAGCGAGAACAAGGTGTGAGCGTGGCTGATCTAGCATGCACATACAGTTGGTCTACATCAACGATTTGCTCTATCCTCAAGAACAAGGACAAGATTAAGGAGAGAGATGCTTCAAAGGGAGTGACAAGAATATCTATGCAACGGTTACGTATTCTCGACAATGTTGAAAGGTTGCTCATCATATGGATAAACGAAAAGCAATTGCAAGGCGACACTGTTAACGAGAACATCATGTGTGAGAGGGCGGAAGTGATTTTCGCCGACCTCGTTAAGAAGGTGCCACCATCATCAATGGCCGAAAAGGAAGCATTTAAGGGAAGCTGTGGGTGGTTGAAGAAGTTTAAGAGAAGAACCGGCATCCACAGCGCCGTAAGGCACGGTGAAGCAGCAAGCTCCGACATAAAGGCAGCAGAGAACTTCATCGGGGACTTCAAGAAGCTCACATATTCTGAGGGTTACCTGCCGCAACAGGTTTTTAATTGTGACAAGATGGGTCTCTTCTGGAAAAAGATGCTGAAGCAAACCTATATAACAGCAGAGGATAATGCATTGCCTGGCCATAAGCCAATGAAAGACCATCTCACGCTGCTATTTTGTGCCAATGCAAGCGGCGATTTGAAAATCAAACCGCTGCTTGTTTACCATTCAGAAACTCCACGAGCCTTCAAGAAGTGTAAAGTCCAGAAGAGCAGGCTAAGTGTGATGTGGAGATCCAACAACAAGGCTTGGGTGACACGTGACCTTTTTACCGAGTGGATCAATGAAGTGTTTGGTCCTTCTGTGAAAAAATATTTGCTTGAGATGAATCTGCCACTCCATGTCTTCCTTGTTATGGACAATGCTCCTGCCCATCCTCCAGACCTACAAGATGACCTCCCTGAAGAATTTAAATTCATCAAGATCCAGTTTGTGCCTCTGAACACCACTCTGTTACTCCAGCCTATGGACTAGCAGGTTATTTCTAACTTTAAGAAGCTGTACACTAAAGCACTCTTCAAGTGTTGGTTTGAGGTGACTGAAGGGGCCAATCTCACTCTCAGAGAGTTTTGGAAGTATCACTACCACATTGTTGCCTGCCTGAAGATGATCGAAAAGGCATGGGAAGGGTTACCAAGAGAACCCTCACGTCTGCTTAGAAGAAGCTTTGGCCAGAGAGCATTGTCAAATGTGATTTGAGGGATTTGAGATAGTACCTGTGGAGCCTGTAGTCAATGAAATTGTGTCTTTGGCCAAGATCATGGGGCTGGAGGTGGATAACAATGATATCGATGAGCTTGTGGAAGAGCACAGCCAAGAGCTGACCACCAAAGAGCTTATGGAGTTGCATTGTGTTTCACAGCAAGAAGTTGTGGAGGAGAGTTTGTCAGAGGAGGAGGAGGTAACAGCAAAGCAACAATCTTCTGGCACAATAAGAGAAATGGTGAAAGCATGGGAAACTGTTGCATTGTACATTGAGAAGCGTCACCCTAATAAGGCAGTGGCTATGTGCGTTACAAATTTATTTAATGCTAATGCTGTGTCACATTTTCACCAAAGTTTGAAGCATTGGCAAAAACAAATGTCTCTAGAGAGCTTTATAGTAAAAAAAGAATTAGATATGTATCATAAATAATAAAGTAATATATGTATATATATGTGTGTGTGTGTGTGTGTATATATATATATGAGTGGAGCAAGGAAGTTCAGTTTGTGTAGCAACTTAGCTACGGGCTGGATTTCCAAGGAATTGGGGTTCAATTTCTAGTAGGAGAATGAGATTTTCTCTTCACCAGTATGTTCAGACCATATCTGAGGTCCACCCAGCCTCCTGTACTATGGGTACAGGAGTCTGTTTCCCCAGAGGTAGGGCAGCAGAGGCACAAAGCTGCTGCCTACCTCCATCTTGTGCTGCAAATAAGAATGGTGGGGCTATATTTCCACTCCCCCAACGCATCTTCATGGTTCGGTGCTTGATTAATTAATTTCACAGATAGCTTTACCTTTTACCTTTATGTATGTGAGAAAGCAAAATGCATTTCCAATATCACTCACTTCTGATAAAAATGCATTCCTAATTCCTTTATACGGGGTCTATATAATGGCATAGTCACAAGCCAGTATACCAAGTCTCTTATGTTTTATTCTGTTGTAAGATATTCAATTATATTGCGCCGGATGACAGCTTCTGCTGCTCCTACTCATCTTCGGCTGCACCTTCCCCCCAACACCCACAATCTCCGGTACCTTCCGGCTCAGTCTACCTTTCCTCTATCGAGGGGAATGGTGCCCCGTCATACAGCTCCAGTGCTGTGCTCACACGCTCCCTAAGCTAGTGGAAGGGATCCAAGCTAGCAGCGAGGTAAATCTAGTTACAAATGATGGCAATCAATATAATAACAAATAACAGAATTTAATAAACACAACTAACATATAACCAAAGACAAGAATTCATCGTTCTTACAGCACACGAGCCCAAGAAATTGAATAGAACAACTCAACAAATTACACATTTACATGTTCGCACACAGCGGCATCTAACTCGGGTAGAATGGCCCATATTTACTGGCCCAACAATTTGCCTTGGTTGCATGAAAACATAACTACTACTTTCTAGCTGGGTCAGGCTGAGTCTAAACCAAATACACAGTATAAATTATAAACACCGGTTTAACTAAACTGGTACGAGTCGCCGCTGTACTACAAACCCAACGACGGGCGACTGCGGGCGATCTCGCCGGCCGTGAACCAGCCCACTACTTGCCAAAACCAATTTTGGACTCCCAGCCGAACAGGAATTTGACAATCGCTCCGGCTGGCTCGGCGCAGCAAGCAAGGCCCTATGGATCCATAACCAGAACTAAACTCCAACTCACAATAAATCGTCCCTTCCTAGCAAGGTTCCCAGGGGTAGAAGGGAGGGGAGAGGGCAACTCCACGTGACACAGTCCACTCATTGTGGGAGGAGGGGAAGAGGTAAGTTTAAAAGACCTCCAGCAAGGATGGAAAAAAAAAAGGGTTAGACAACATGGTCTGGAAGCCCATAACATCATAATGGAGCCAGTGCCGATGAATGGCTCAATATAACTTAATGGTTCTACATACCAATCTTTGGACAATGGGGCAATATGCGAGAATTCTTTTTTAGATATTCCGATGGTGTGTTAAGAGGAACTTTGGCAAAACCAAATGTTTTATGACAGCATTTGTTCCGTTTTCCTTCAGCCTCCAGCAGTTTAGTTATGAATGGTGGCTTAGCACTGGAACAAACAGCAGTAAACACAATATTTCAACACTACAACTATAAAGCTTTTTCTTACTATATCCCAATCTGTTTGAACTGAAAAATATTTATGAGGTTGCAGTTCAGTACTTATATATTACTGTCTTAAATGCAACGTTATTTTTTATCTCACATAAATCTTATTATCATAATACTATTATAATTATATATGCGTATATATATATATTTTTTTTCATTATATTTAGTATTGGAGAAGTCTGTTAATATCTGTCAACATATTTCATTACTGGTTTAAATGGAATGATAAACGAAAACTTTACATACGTTTCCGTGTGGATCTCGAGCGCAACGCGATACATATTTATGAGGGGGAAAAATGTTTCAGACACGGTTGTAGGGTAAATACATCTCATGTCAAATGTATTTTGCTAGTAAGTACTGTGACATATAGGGGCTAGAAATGTTGAAGTTTGCTGCTCTCTTTACCTTTACGGTTCGCTAGAAACCCTGGCAGCTACCATATATTGTTTACACATTACAACTCAGAACACAGTAATATATACACAGTCACCGCCAGAACCTCAGATTTCACATTTTTCATATTAGGTTGTAACATTTACCTTATTTTCGGAGATGGTTTCGCGTCCTCCTTCTTAATAATATTGTATATATTTTCGTCATGAGCTGTGAGCAATACTGTCGACATTCTTATTGATTACCGTCGAAATATCAAATAGTATTTAATAAGCGACCTTTAAGGGCATTTGAATTTTGTTTTACTATATCATCACTATACGACTGGCTTTAAAAATTCTTTTATGACACAGCAATTTTGTTCCTTCTTCTTTGAACTTTTTTAAATGTGAGGTTATCGTGTTTCTTTCTAGCTGTTAAAATTTGTTGCTATGTAGCTTGGCAACGCTTTTACCACAGGTTTTTATAATTATAAAACGATAAATATCGAATGATCCTATTTAGATGGATTTGTCGGCAGATGGCACTTACGTTTATTTGTCACGCGGGTGCATGCGCAAGATCCGCAAGATTATTCAATGAACTGCAATTGTGTAGGTTTGGACCGTTTGGACTGTGTGTGTTGGTAGGAGAACTGTGTTGCATTGTGTCAGATTTGGAATTATTAGATGAACTTCGAGCTGTTGTGATTAGAAATGTTTGTGTTATGTTATTTAGTGTCACATTGTTTGTGTGGTCACTAGTTCAACAATGCATTTTATAAGATAGGTTTCAAGAGGTGCGGCTTTCACGAAGTTAGATGTTAAATATGTTACTCATATGTCAAATATCAAAACATTTAAATAAATCTGCGCTGTAGTCAAATTCTTAGTTGTGGGATTTGTTTCATGTGGTTCAGTTTGATTTGCATTATGGGGCTATGTGTTACAGGAGTGTGTGAAATCAAGTGTCAAAGCTCATGCATGTTGTGGGGGGTGCTGCATTAACGCACCAAGAACAAACTCACTACTCCGAAGACCCGTCGCCTCCAGATCAACAGAGCGATAATGCACGTGCTTCAGATTCAAGTAAGATTGTTATCACCATTTTTCGCCACCAGTGATGATAATGTATTTTGTGTTGTTATAGGCATATCATGATTTAGCCCGAATTTTTTGAAATTGTGTGGTGTGTTTGAAGATTTAAGTGTTCACAAAATGTGAACGTTTGATTTAATTATAAATATGAATACTAATTTCATGTGGCTGCTGAAATTGTAGGTAAATTGATTTGATCTGAATGGCAGGTTAGAGGGAGGAAAGACTGATGAAGAAAAAAATAATAAACTCTTGGACAGAGCTTCAACTATGGTATGTTGTCAGATGGTGATCAAATACATTGTTCTTTTATCATATCGTTACGAAATTCAAATTTCAGCCACTCTTTATAAAACTATTTTTTTCTGAGAAACTTTACATTATAACAAAAGATATCTCAAAATTACATAAGTAGTATTGCCATTGTAATATATATGTATATAGCAGCCAGTTAGGTTACCTTGACTGTTCATAATCTGCATATGTTTTCACCTAGGTTGTATTAGGCCATAGAATTCGGGAATGCATAACAGTTTTTGATTTCAGAGCATAGCACTTGGACACAGCTTTGTTGAACTGCTGCTATATATATATATATATATATATATGGACATTTCTGTTTTGAAAATATCCTCCAAATCTGCATTAACTAATTCGTTTTCTATGACAAATATCACCTCAAATATACTGATACCGACAGCACCCACAGAATAGTAACTGTATATGTAAACAGTACACTCTTTGCTCTTCGTGATGTGCTGTACTTTCATATTGTTTTGCAGAATTATTACAGTGCATGCAAATTTTCTGCTGCATGTTAATGTCTTTAAATTTAATTTCTGGGTAACCTGCCCACAAATGTAACTTAAACTTCATCAGAAGTATGTCGTGAGGTAGGATAGATAAGGGGTCACTACAAACATGGGCTGCTGCATCAGATTTGAGGCAGTTGAAACTCTTTTTTTGGAAGTTCTTTTGATAAATTGTCTAGGAAGCTATTGGCCATTGAAAGGAAACATGGTCTGTACTAAGTCTGCTGATCAGTCACCATACATTCTGGTGGTATTGAATTGAATTGAATTTATTTACATTCTATAAATCCTAAGCAGGTTAGTACCTTTGGATACAGAACAAGTCAAAAGGTTACATACATAAGTACAGGCAATTTTAGCTTAAAAATTAATATTATTTACATTGAAGTATTCATCTAAAGAGTAGAAGGAATGAGCATGTAGATAATTCTTTAACTCTGATTTAAACTTTTTAGTATCATTGCCCAAGTTTTTAATACTTTGTGGCAGATTGTTGAACACTTTTATGCCAGTAAAGTAGACTCCTTTTTGATATACTGATAAAGTTGATG